AGTTTGGTGGATGAAATATATATCGGATTAATCAATTTGTTTGGTTGCGTGATCATCAACACTTGCACAAAAAGAATGCTGTAAAGTAATTTGGTGAAAACAACCTGAAAAGAGATTATTCATGTACGGCGGGGATTAAGCAATAAAAACAACGTAGCTCGTGTTGCCCATTCATAACCAGACAACGCAACGCAATGACTCCGAGTTAACACGGCACAACAAAAATAGTCGGTGCAATTAATTATAAATTGAAAATTCAAATTTTAAAATTTGTGGAATGGAGTAAACGTGCATCTCGATAACCTGATTAATTAAAAATACAGGGAAAAGAAAAACCAGGAACCAAAAATTACCGCCGCCGTAAGAGAATTCGCGTTGAATAGATCTGATAATCCCGGCGCAGAGGAAAAGTGGAGTAGATAATAAAGAGGGTTATAGAGAAAGAGAGAGATATATATATATATATAGAGAGAGAGAGAGAGAGAGAGAGAGAAAGAGATAAATAGGGGGCCGGGGGAAGTATGAATTTGTAATGGAGCAGGACACTTATCATCCTACCAATATCGGAAAGCAGCAGTCCCGTTATAATGGTGAACTTCCTATGAAAGCCAGACTGTCCGACTACCTGATATGAATGTGCATGCTATTTATATATATTTATTTATTTATTTATTTATTAGGAGCTAAATACGTGATTATGGTGGCTAACATAATTATTTTTTAATTACTGCTCCACTTAATTAATCATCACATGTTATGTACGGTATATACCTAGGTATGTTAAACGAGCCGAACCGACTCGTGAGCTCGATGAGCCGGCTCAGAAAAAAGCTCGAATTTGGATTCGAGTATTTCGAGCTCGAACCAGTTTTTAATTGCTAATCATGAGCTCACGAGCCGGCTCGCAAGTCTTATTTATTATTTTTATTTTTATTTATTATTTTTTATATATTATTTTTTATTTAAATAATACAAAAATTATAGAAATAAATAAAAATAAAATATAAATATTAAAAAATATATATAATTATAATTTATTGTTTCTTTTGTAATTTTTTAAATAATTTTAATTATAATAAAATAATAATTAAAAAAAAACAAAATGAGCTTGGGCTCGAGCTTGAGCTCGAGCCAAAAAAGAACGAACTCAACTCGAGCTCAAACTCGACAAAATAGACTCGAGCTCGAGCTCGAGCCTGTCAAAAGAGACGAGCTCGGCTCCTTCACACCCCTAGCTACACCTATATATTTAGGGATAACTGGCTAGATTCTCTTACTTGGAGCTTAGAACAACTTCAATGCTAAAATCAAAATTGAATTATAAATGGGGTTTTATGCATAAGTCTCTCATTAACCACCTTAATTATTTTAAAACGGATTTATTTAACTAATCATTAAATAATTATTCATTTTTCACTACAAAATAATTATTGACTCTCATTGATATTCTCAAATATTATATTTGAGTCTCGGTTTATCATTACTTAGATTCTCCTTACATTAACATATATATTCTAATAACCACCAAATAATATATTCACTAAAAAATAAATTAGAAAGCTACAAACGAATATAAAAATCTTTGAAGAAAAGAAGAATGCATGTCTAGGAGAAAATAAAAATCATATGCACCAAAAAAATATTTCTTCTCTAATCTGAAATCCTCGATGTCCGTCGGCATCTAAGTGTGATCGATAAATTGGACTCAATGACGATGATGAAGGTCATGGGTTGCACCACTGGAGTTTGTTGATGAAACGAATTTCGAAGAAAACCCCGCAGTTGAATTAAATCAAAGAAGAAAATCTTTGAGTACCAATCAATGATTAACGATCTTTTTCCCTCGATTCTTCAACAATCACAAGAATAATATGAATTTGACTTCAATTTGTTCACGAATCTAAATTTCCTCTTTCTCTCACAATCATTTTATGGATCTGGTAATACTCCAACGAAGAACGGAGGCGGATGATGAACGATCGATGAGATATGAAAGAGAATAGATAAGAGAGAAGAAAAGAAAGAACGTCAAGTTGCAGATTGATATGCTGAAAAGAAGGAACGTGATTTATTTTCATACTTACGGAACTGTTAAATATAAGGGTATGATTGGGATAAATTAAAACAGCAGTTTTTCGTTCCAATGATTTAGTTCACAAAAAAATAGAAACGCGCTATATCCACCGCCTTATATCTCTTTGCACCACCTACTTTAATTTATAAATTAAAAAAAAAATTACTACTTCATTTTACTATTTACCCTTTATCCTAAAAATAATGTCAAAATATGTAGAATTGAAACTCTCGATTCACCATAGACATAAAAATCATCATCTTCTCTTTATTCTTTTGTTTCCCAAGTTTTCCGATTTTACACCTCATGACAAAGAATTTATGGACAACAAGGCTTCTCATACTTCCAATTTTCAACCCAATCGAATATTTGGAATGAAAATCTCATAAAATAAGCAGGAAAATAATACTATATTTTAATATATTTGAGAAGATTGAAGAGCTACATAAGAAAATTTATGTTTCGGAAGAAAAGATACGTGACAGAAGAATAGGTGTGGACCGTGAGGGAAATAATATGGATTGAAGTGGTGGAACAAGATAATAGGGCGCACACATAATTTTATTGTTTAATGGTATTTTGGACGTTTATTAAAAGGTTTTGATAGAAAAATTTGTTATGGTGGTGAGAGGAGATAAAAGAAAAAGGCGTTGGAAATAGCGAGTCTCAAAAAATTATTAGGATTGTATTCTATATATAATTAGGTTTGGTGCAAATGACCTATAATATAGTATTAACCTCTAATGTTTAATATATGTTTCAACTAGATCAAAAAAAATGAATTTTTATTTTCTTATTTTCGACAACAAAAGTAAATATTTTAAGCGACAAAAATAAATATTTCAACCAAAAAAATACAAATTTAATTTTCTTAATTTTTTTAATTAATTTATTGTGGGGCAACATCAGGTTAGAGTCTCCATATACAATCCCAAATTTAGGAAAATATATAAAAATTTTAAGTATCTATTTTAGAAACTCTAGTAAAATAGACTTGTGCAACCTATAGAGACTCCATTGAAGATGCTCTAACAAGAGCAAAATGTTTTCATATCCATAAAATATAAATAACTACCTAATAGGCTAATAGATGTTTGAAATATATCTTTAACGAAAGCAGCAAAATCGAATATTTTATGAAATATTTTATAACCTATCCATCAATCTTATAATCGAAATGCACCATAAGATTATTGGGTTTTATGAAAGAAACATTTTATTGAATGTTGAGTAGATTTACCCAAAATTGAAGGAGGAGTTTCGGATAAATCTATCTGAAATCTTGTTTCTTCTTTTTCTTCAATTTGACTCTTCTTTTCTTTCTAAATTCGAAATTTAAAAATTTAACACTCCAATAAGATTTTAAAATATAAAGTAAAAATATAGTTATATGAATTTCACAAACTATACATTTGAAAATAATCAATCTCTCAAGTGTCGTCAAATGGCCAAGATATTGACCAAGTAACCAATATTTTCATGATCGGTAATATCAATTTCAAATAATTAAAAGAGTCGTATGTTGATAAACGAAGATGCTATCATTATAAAATTTGTATGGTGATCTCTAAATATTAAAAAAAAATTGTTACTTTTCGAGTGGTAAACATTGAATATTTTCAATTTCAATTTCTAACTCCTTTCACACCCATTTATCATATCTAACGCTATCAATCCAAATAAAATTCCTATAAGGGTTAAATACAACTTACACCCCTAAAGTATATCTTATGTAACACTTACCCCTTAAAGTATTATTTGTAACGCTTACCCCTGAAGCATTATTTAATTTTATTTTAAATTCTAATACCTTCAAATTTCTCTTTTATTGAAAGGAATAACTAAAAGAATAATTAAATAATACAACTAAAAATATCCATTGAGAAATACAATATTATAAAATTTAAAAATATTATCTTGCGTTGAGTACATAAATTCAAGTGTAAGTTTTACAAATGATACTTTTAAGGGGTAAGTGTTACATAGGCTATACTTCAGGGGTGCAAGTGAATTTAACCCTTCCTATAACTCAAGTCTTACCTCTACACTTATTACAATTATTATAATATTATTGTTGAAATTCAAATTTTAAATTAGAGTTATTAGATTTTTGAGAATTAAATTAATGAAATTCATCTAAATTCAAAATTTATACATATATCTGTGTTGAAATGGAAAAAATAGATCTTTTTTACTTAGAATGTAGTATTGTTGAGTAAATTTTGTCGGCTTAAAACACAAAATCGGGCCGGAAAAATCGACCAAGAAGCTTCACAAAACCATAAAAACATGTGAATGATGTCTAGACACAAATACGTTGTTATTTCATCTTAGAAAGATGCACATTGTTGTTTTGCGTCCATGACACATGCAAATTTGTTGTTGTCCAATCTGGTCAAGAGCAAGGTTAATGTATTTGCATCTAGAAGAGACACAATACCGATGTCAATGGTGTTGAACATGCTAAAGATTACTTAGGTATTTACGTGTGTGTCTCAGACACAATCATGGAAGAGATGCGTATGATTTATGTGTATAATAATTAAGGGGGAAATTAAGGAAAGAGTAGCAAGGAGGGGTTACCAATTGAATTGTCCCATTTGATGCTACAAACTCTATAATATGTAGCATTTGATGACTGAATTGGAATTGGTCATAATTCTGTTAAACATAATTTAAACTTTAATCCATCAAAAAACTTCCACACTTTCAAACAGTATCAGAGGTACAAACGCAGGGAGTTGCAGATTCCAAGATTTCATAGCCTTACATAACATAACAACCAATAAAGGAACATATACATATGCTTACAACCAAATAGATACTTTGAAACCTGAAACCCCGATCACAGATTACCATGATGCCTTGTCAACAATATAAGAAAATAGGCCTAAATCAACAAAAATGAAAATCTACAACAGATCAAATAGCAAGTGTCGAGAGCACCAAAACCTCCAGACAATCATAGTTGGTACAAAATACACGATATCAAATAAATAGCAGCGGCACATGCTGAAAAAGAGAGATTGATAGAATAAGAGGTAACATAAAGCATCATTTGCCCAACATGCAGATTCATAAAATAGAAAGTCTTGTTAAATCCCAATACTCAGATAGAAGTAATAAATTCAAAAAAAGTCTGTTCCAGCAAAAACAAAAAGGAAGAAAATCGGAATCTATATATCTAGTCCTCTTCCTCTCCCTCTTGCTCAGCAATGTTGAAATACCTAAGTTCGTAGATGTTTCGGTCTTTGTTGGAAGCAATCACACGGAGCCAATCTCTCACATTATGCTTCTTCAAGTATTTCTTTGTCAAATACTTGAGGTACCTGCAACACACTTACAAATCACTTCTTTGAAAATGAACAAAACTTGACTACAAGTTTATTATAAGAACACAAGCCAAATACTGGTAGCTTGATAAGCAATTTCTATACTTGATGAAATGAAAATGAAGTAAGATATGGAAAATTCAACTCATCAGCTATTTATTACTACACATTACACTTTGTGACAATGCATTTGGTCAAAAACCAGTGAAGGCAAACTAACTTTGATTTTGAAGAGACAAGCGAACAAACACAAAGACTGACTATTTCATGTTGAAGATGCAATCAAGAAATACGAGGGTTCATCAGAATCAATACTTAAGTCAAAGTGGTGTCAGCAGACTCTGATTCCTAAATTTCTTAGTACTCCTAAAGACTCTATTTGGAGGTTGAAAAAACAAATTCATTAATTTGGTTTCAAAGTAAACCAAAAATAAAACATTTATAAACAAATATAACTAAGCCAATAACATATTATAGATATCTTCTTTTTCAGGCACATTTTCACATTCCCAGATCGTTTAGAATGAATTCATGTTTTGCTAGAAATGAAATGAAAGCAAATTCATTTCTAATTGATTTAATTTGTACTAGAATCAATTTATCGACAATAAGAATGCAGACATCTCATTTAGAACAATAAAATTGAAAATGTGAGAACAAATCCAAATAATAAAAGAAAAAAGAAAAAAGAAAAAAGAAAAAACCTTTTGGAGAAAGTAGCATCGGCAGTGACGGTAATCTTGCTCTTCTCACGGGTGACGGTAACAGAATCACCGAGAGCGCCGGCCTTGCCACCGACCTTGATCCTTTCCTGCAAAAACTTCTCTAGGGAAGCAATCTCCATTATCTTATCCTCCACAGGCTTCGAACAATCGATGACGTAGGTTGCTACCTTCTTCTTCCCACCTTTCGCACCCGCAGCTGCCGCTCCTTTGCTCATTTTCGCTCTCTCTCTCTTTTTATTCTTCTTGCCTGCAAGCAGCTAAATCAATGGCTAAATCAATGAATCCAATCAGAATCTGAAAACGACTGTGCGTGTGTGTGTGTAGAGAGTGAATTGAGCAGACGATAGAATACAAGGGTTTATTAGGGTTTCTCCAATTGGTCCAGGCCTCTAGGGTTTACTTTACTCTCAAATTGATCGGGGTTGTTGATTAAACTATTGGGCCGCCAGAATTCACCAAATATTGGGCCTATTATTATTATTATTATTATTATTATTATTATTATTATTATTATTATTATTATTATTATTATTATTATTATTATTATTATTATTATTATTATTATTTCGTTTTATTATTTCATTTTATTACTCCTAAAAATAGTAAACAAAAAATTCTCTTATTTCGTTGGATAATTTATTTTATGTATTTCATTAAGTTTAATGTTGGCTATCCCCACAATTAGCAAACTCGTGTCGATTTTCATTTTTCGTGTCGAATTTTTCTATATAGTAACTCACAACCCACACAAATTATGAAAAACGTATTAGATTAAACATATGTAATAAGTTTCATTCAGAAAAACATGGATAAATGGGTTCCAACTCATGTCAAATCATAGTGCTATGTCTTTATCCACCAACTAGATCATCATTTATAGTAATATTTCATTAATTTGTATTTATTTTAAAGTTTGTTTTCCCCTTAATACTGTGAATTTAGTAACGAGGTTTTGACATTTTTTCTTGCATTGCATAATTGTATTTTAGTATTGGCTTCGATTCTTCTTATGATAGAGTACATTGATAGTTATTGGACGATTTTGTAGTCCAATTAATTATTTTGACTTCCCTAATTAAAGGGAGGTGATATTCGCGGTAGCAAATTATGAATGCGAGTTTAAAAAAATCCACTATCTACCTTTCTTTCTCTCTCTACAATTTTAGCTTTTATATTAGAAATCATTCCAAAACACATGTTATTGTAGCCATTTGCAAAAAAAAAAATGAGTGCATCGAATGAGGATCGAGATACGAAATCCAATGAGGTAAAATTTGTTCGTTTTTGTTCTTTAAATCGCGAAAACGCGACTCACGGCCAATTTGGACGCCCAAAAATACGTTTCACGACTAAACTGGGCGCGAAACAGCTAGATTCACGCCCAAATTGAACGCACGGTCCGGTATTCGGCGCCTGGTTCGGACGCACAGAAGTATTTCCCGCGCCTGGTTCGGACGCGGACAAGTACTTCCTGCGCCCGGTTTGGGCGCGCAAAACCACTACCCGCGTCCAGTTTGGGTGCTGAAAACCGCCACCCGCGTCCGGTTTGGGCGCGCAAAACCGATTCCGACGTCCGGCTTGGGCACGCAACACTTTTTTTTTTTCCTCTTTTTTTTTTTTTTTTATTGTTATTGTTATTACTCTTTAACCTTATTTTATTCATAATTATTTCACGAAGAGCAACAACAATATTCTTCTACGTTTGAAGTTGATCATAGTGAGCATTTTATAGTATCGGAACTTTTTAACTCGAGGATTGAAATGGTAGAATGGGCGAGAACGACCGCCAAGAATCTTGGTGTAAAGTTGGTGAGCCGTAATAGCCCTTCAAATAGAGCATATCTTACTTGTGATCTATTTGGGGTGAAGAGACCAAGTAAAACGGACACAGATGTGCCAAAGAAGAGATGGTCGGGCACAAAGAAAATTAATTGTAAATTTTACTTGGTAGGAGAGCAACATTACGGGGATAGATGGGGAATTAGAATATTATATGGGAAGCATAATCATGATCCCGTAAATTTGTTTGGGCATGGGTCTACGAAAATGACTGAAGAGGAGGCGGAAATTACTCGGATGTTGGCAAAAAGTCGTGTGCCGCCGAAAAAGATTTTAATACATTTGAAAGAGAAGAACTTGGCACAAGATAAGACAAATATACAATGAAAAAGCGAAAATGAAAAAGGAGGCTAGAAGCGGGCATACAATTATGCAGCATTTGGTTGGGTTGCTTGAGGAACATAAGTATTATAAGTGGATCCGCACTGATCCAACTACGCATGAAGTTATTGATCTGATGTGGGCTCACCCTCAGTCGGTCAAAATGTTGAGACTGTTTCCATACGTTTTGCTGTTTGACTGTACATACAAAACAAATGTGTACAAAATGCCTTTGTTGGAGATTATTGGTGTTTGCTCCGAAGGTCTGAATTTTACTGTTGCAATGGCATTCATGCGCCATGAAAATAAAGTGCATTATACATGGGCGTTGAACAATTTGAGAAAGTTATACCTCCCAAACAATGTACCGGGGGTCGTTGTGACTGATAGGGAATTGGGGCTGATAAAGGGGTTAGAGAATGTGTTCCCAGAGTCATATCATCTTCTATGCACATTCCATATCAATAGGAATGTGGGTTGTCGTGCTGCACAATGCTTGGGTAACAGTAAGTCTCGAGGAATTACCTTCGTCCGTGAGGTTTGACAAAGAGTTGTAACTTCACTATCTGTTACACAATACGAAAGTAACCTTGTGGCAATGGTCGATGAGTACAGAAACAATCCGGATCTACTCGAGTACTTAGAAACGACTTGGCTCATATACAAAGATAGGTTTGTTCGTGCATGGACAGATTGTGTATTCCAACTCGGCAATACCTCGACAAATAGGTAATTTAATATTACTTGTGCAATACAAATCGTAATTTAATATTACTTGTGAATTAAAAAATTTCCTATGTTCATTAATTAGGGTTGAGAGCGGTCATAAAGCAGTAAAGGATTGATTGTCGTCGTCCACCGGTGGATTTGACACCTTTTGGGCACAATATCACTCGCAGATGATTATTCAACTTAATCAGATTCTGAAAACATTTGGCAAATCAAGGAGGATCCGAACGAAAACTATCAATGTACCCATTTTTAGGATTTTATCTTCCAGAATCGTCACGCATGCGGCCCTTAAACTTTTGGACGTTGAGCGTGAAAAAAATATCGAGGATTGCAATTGTTACTTGAAGAACACTCATGGTCTCCCTTGCAAAATGACATTGATCTTAAAGAGAGTAGATGTAGTGATGTGTTTTATGCAGAAGATGTCCATAAATTTTGGAGGACCATGATTTTGTTGGATGGCAATCAAGCAGAGAGTGTTGATTCAGTCCCCGATCATAGGACACAAGCACTTGGAAGATTAGAAGGATTGGTTGATGAATTGCGTCAACGTTCTGACGCTGAGATTAATGATGTGGCGGACATAGTTTTTGAAGGATACAACCCGGAGAGACGGAATTAAATGAGCCGTCAGTACAACGACGAAGAGGCAGACCAAGGAACAACTCCACATAGAGAGAATTGTCAGCGTGGGAACCTCGACCAAGAGGTAGTAGAGGCCATCGAGGCAGTAGAGGTCATGAGGCACCTTGTGATTCATCTAGTAGAAATTGTAGTCGTGGTCGTTCATCTACTGTAAGTGGGCCCGAACCGGAATGAATTGCCCAACCTGAGTTTATCCGAAATCTACATTTTGCACTTGTACCTGATGTTGTGATGTGGAAGAACGTGTTGGGCGACGGTAACTGCGGATACCGGTCTGTTGCATGTGCAGTCAAGGGCGACGAGGAGAATTGGTATGATGTTAGATTGGATGTTTATAATTTTCTCAGAAATAATGAAGAGTTTTTCAAAGACTACTATGGTGGCGGAAATTACATATATCAAGTGATGACAAGTGTGGCACATTGGCAAAATCGACCGGCACCATTAAATAAATGGATGACTATTACGGACGTGAGAGTGGTCGTAGCAACATGTTACAATGCTTTGGTGTTGTCGACAAGTAGTTCGCGAAATCAGACTTATTTGCCGCTTTTCTCCCCCGTTGGTGTTTCACAACTATCGCACGAGATGACCAATTGTATACTTGGCGGAAGGGAGTCATTTTTATCGAGGTTATTAATTTATCGAGGTTCTACTGTAGAAAGAAAATTAAGGTTATTCTTCTGATTCCGTGATTCCATAACACAACAAAAGAATTATTTTTTTCACATACCTTGTGATTTGGATATGGAACGATGATTTGTTACTTGTGTCAATTTTGCAATCTCTCGTCTTCTTACTAACAACTCACTTTGGGGATAAATTCTTGCGGGGTAGAACTAGGATTTTGGTATTGGAGGGATTTCTTTATGATTCATGATTGACATTAAGGGTCAAAGTTAGAATGAAATTTTCAATTTCCGCCGGCTCAGATCCGAAAAGTTCCGATTCAGTAACAATTTTTTTCATTTCCATTTCCAAAATTATGATTTTTGATATTTTCCTAAATTTTTGGATTGAAATTGGAATTATATAAAAAATATTTGAAATTTCCGATTTTCAATTTAGTTTTATTTTTGAAATTAATTCCGAAAATTCCAATTTCGCTCCAAAAATACACAATTGCTATTTACATACTTTTACCTTATGGAACATATTGGAAACCCAAAGTATTTCATTTGTTCTTTCTCACGTAAAAGTAAAAAAAAGGACCTAGTTTCGTCCCTAATTTTGATCGATGGTTTAGAAAATTACTGGTACTTGAAAATAGGTACAAACAAAAGAAAACAGGGATGACAATGGGGCGGGTATGGGGCGAATTTTGCAATCGCCGTCCCTGCCCCGCTCTGAAAATCCACATCCCCTCCCCATCAAAATTCCCGAATTTTATGAGTTGGTATCCCATACCACCCCGTAAAATCCCAACGGATACCCACCCTGTAAAATCTCTGTATTATTTTAAATAAAAATGGAATTCATTTTTAATTTAAAAATTTGGTTAAATAAACAAACCAACAAAGTGCAAATTTAACTTCAAATCACAAAATTCAATTAATTGTTTAGGGTTAGTAATATTTAAATAGTTTATCATATATATTTCATTATAATAAATAATAAATAATAAATATATATATAAATAATAACATACGGGGTGGATCTGCAGGACTATTACCTACAAAACCGTCCCTATCCCCATACTCAGTCAATTTTTTTGGGGCAGGTAATACTCAAAAATTTTGGCGTGGGGATCCATCGGGGCGAGTCAAATTAACATACCTTCTACCAACCCTCATTAGGAGAGTTGGTAACCTAGCCTTATCAATAAGGTAAAAGTCCAGGGTTCGAGTCCCCCTTCCATACTTCCCCTTGTAATGGACTTAAATTTACTCAAAAAAAAAAATGAAAATAAAATAAAAATTGACATACTTTCTTACTCTCTTTATTTTCGAATTTTAATATCATTTGATCGTTTTTCTTGGGTTCTAGGATCTCTTGAATATTTTCCAAAAAAAAAAAGTAAAAAATGGAAATATCAATTCAACTTTTTTTTTTTGAAAATTCATTAATTTTAAAATTCCGAAATGTCTACTTTGTTTAATCTAATGAGTATTTCGATTTCAGAATTTGTTGAATAAAAAGATCAAATTAAATTTCACTCGATTAAAGTTTTGTTTTCTTCTAAAAATCTTGATCAGTTCATCTTTTTGTTTATACATTACAATTTGAAAAAAACAAATAAAATTCAAAAGAAAAAACTTTTGAACTTGATTCTAAAAAATAAAGAATTATATTTGTCTCGCAGAACTTTTAGAATATTTATATAAGTTAATTTCTTTATCACATTAGTAAAAAAAAAGATTAATGTAGAAAAGGCAAAAAAGACCACTAAGAAAGAAAATAAATATGATGATATATTATTTTTGAGTTAAAATCTCATAACAAAATGACGTTGTATCTTGAGTTACAGAGTGAAGTTTGTAAATGTTAAGAATATAGGGTGAAAATTGACAATTGGTGTAATTTGTGGGGTGCAAAATGCAACGTACCTGTAAAATTGAAAAAAACTGACCCACCATTATTTCATTTGATCTACCCTAGATTGCAATTTGCACCCCGTATCTCAATCCTCAAAAACCCTAAGAAACCTTCCAAGTCTTGCGAAGCTCTTGTTCTATCTGTTAACATTCGTCAAGGTAAATCCTTTTTTTCATCTTCTTCTTCTTCTTCTTCTTACTAAGTTTCTCTGGCGGATCTATACGCGATGACGTACTTGTGTAATTCTTGTTTTTTATTTAATTTGCGAACAATTTCTCGATTGAATTCAATATTCTATTAAATTTCGACCCCAGTATTTTGTTTCTAGTTTCAGTTCATTTTTTATCGGTGGTCTCTTTAAGGTTAACAGCCAGCGACAAATTCATATATCTTAATTTAGGTTAAAAGTTGTGCAGTTTATTATTGCTTCCACTTTATGCGACGTGTCTTGTCTATGATGCTTATTTTGTTTGATTTTCTCCTAGTTGCTTTGTACATAGTTGTTTGAATATTTTTGTAACCGGTTCTGGCTAATTTTTTTTTTTTTTTTTAAATTTTTTCTTGCTTCGTTTCATTTTTTATATTTTTGCAATGTTTGCATGTATCTCTTCAGCAAGATGAGTCGTTCCAGCAGAACCCTCTATGTCGGCAACCTTCCTGGTGACATTCGTGAGCGGGAAGTGGAAGATCTGTTTTACAAGGTTTAATATATATATATATATATATATATATATATATATATATATATATATATATATATATATATATATCACTTTGAGGGAATTCCTTATTTTCTCTGCTTTCCCTATTTCTACCTAACTAGAATTTTTTTATAATATTTTTGAACTGCAAATCTGACCAAACATGTGTCAGTTTATGCATGAACTTGGCTGTTAGTTTATTGCCTTGTTCAGATTCAGATGCTTGACGTCAGTAGTTACGTCTGCTCTTTTCATTTTGCTATATTGTTGTGTCGTGGTTAACATGAATCATCAGAGTCATTTATTTACATTTTGAGTGTCAAAGGTTGTTTCTTTCTTATATTGGGGCACGGAGGTTCTTGCTCCCTTAATATGAGGAGACGTGTCATACAAGCCTCAAATTGAAAATTTAATCAGAATAATGACATCAGAAACGATTAGTTAAGAAATAAATTTGCCTACTGGAGGAAGCTAAGCACTTTAGAAAGGGAGTACCTTTAGAAGATATCAAGTCAAGTTTATGCATGATGTTTAGTAGTTGGGATTCTTGGACCTTGGTTTTCTTGGCAAATAACTATTTTATTTAAATCATCATAAATCCAATCATAAGTATCCAGATGAGGAGGAATTTCTTCTGACACTACTACTACAGTGATAGGCATAACTCACCACCATCTTTATTTGCAGATGAGTATTACTTAATTAGAGGTGTAGTATTGCAAGTAGGGTTCTGTGCAAATTGTCCTTTCTCTTTCTCAACTGCAAAGAACATAGAAGGAAAATATATGACAATAAACAAAAAAATCACTTTTCGAGCTTTGGATGATTCTATAAGTGCAGTTGGTTTATTTCCTTTTTTTTTTGTTCTTTAATTTTTTATTGTGTTCCTGTAAATTATCTTGGTTGTCATTAAATGATTGGGGTTCTTGCTGCAGTATGGTGAGATTGTGCATGTGGATCTGAAAATGCCACCTAGGCCACCTGGTTATGCATTTGTTGAGGTACGTAGTGATTTTCCTTTTGCGTCACTTTGTCATTACAACTCTATTTTTCACTGTAATATATTTCGTGACAGTTTGAAGAAGCTCGTGACGCTGAAGATGCCATTCGGGGACGTGATGGCTATGATTTTGATGGGAATCGCCTGCGGGTTGGTTGTGTTAATTTTTTTTTTATTTTTTATTATCGTTTGATTCCTTTTATATTCCTTTGTTTTTTGGTTCACTGGTGATTTATTAAAACAGGTTGAGCTTGCACATGGTGGTCGTGGCAATTCATCAACAACTGATCGTCATAGTAGCTTTAGCGGTAGTCGGGGTCCTCGTGGTGGTGTGTCCAAGCGCTCTGAATATAGAGGTGGAAACATTGTTTCATATGCCGACTTTACAATATCAGAATTACATTTACATGGTTGCGAGTTTGTCTCACTTTATCCCATTTTTCAGTTTTAATCACTGGACTGCCTCATTCTGCTTCATGGCAAGATCTCAAGGTAGTTCCATCTTCTTTATAATGTAAAGTTGGCCTGCTATATCATCTGTATAGAGCTATTTGCTGAAAGTTAGTCTTATTCATCTATATCTAGGATCACATGCGCCGAGCTGGAGATGTTTGCTTCTCTCAGGTTTTTCATGAAGGGAGTGGTAAGATGTTTTTTTTTTTAAAACTAATTTTGCGAGACATGACTATACATTTCTTCTGTATTATGGTTGATAGTATACCATTTGTTGCTTACACGGCTCTGTGTAGCAGCTGTAGTTTGGGTTAGTAGAGTTGTTTTACAAGTGTTATGTATTCGTGGTGTTTCTGTATGCGCATCTGAGGAACCTGTTTTAGCATTTTGTTCATACCTCTGATTGATATCATTTCCGCTAACTCAATATTCTGCAAATGATAACTCTGAATTAGCATGTATGCATGGGCTCTATACTGTGTAGCACGGAAACGGACACGGAAAGACAAAATTGACATTCTTCCCCACAAAAGCGAAAAAGGGAGGGTTTATCATTTCTACAATAAACAGATAGTCAACATTTGGAGACCAGTCTTAGCACAAGTGAAAATAAAGCAAGGAAGAAACAAGAAACTGAGGCATAATAATTATTATTTGTCGAACCGGGGGATTCTTCTTTGCCCAGGTGACAAGTGGTTTTCGTGTGCGGGAGAGTAATGGATGAGAGGGACATAATACGTTAGGGTCAGAAGTGGTTATCTGGTTCTTCTCAATAGAGAGGAAAAGAGGAGAGAGAGAGAGAGGTTGGGGCTTTTTACCACGTGGAATTTGGTTTTTTTCTTATTTTAACGCATTCCCAAATTTTATTTATTAACAAAGCCCCCTGAAACTTTTGCTCGTTTCGGATCGTTTTCTTCGCTTTCCCATTCCCGAAACGTTTCCTAAACAAGGAAACTCGTGACTCCAGCCATCTCCGTGCTACCTAGGCTGTACACTACTCTTTATTGTGTTGGTTAGAGTTTTTTACATTTTATAAAAAAAATGATGCTGGCATCTGACATATTTCTGTTTTGCATGGCATTGTTTGGGTTTACAATCTTCTTCTTTTGACATTTGCGTTCGTAGTCATGTAGCCCTGCATCTTTGTCTTTCCAAAAAACTTCGTTTCAACTTATTACTGTAGTTTTTCAAGTATTATCGCATTTGTTGCTTGTCTGTGTACGATGATTCTTCAAGTGTATGCGACTTTTCATCCTGCAGGAAAAACAGGAATAGTTGATTATACAAATTATGATGACATGAAATATGCTGTAAGTTATTTTTAAATAGTCCTGAGTGACTATTAATTTGTCTATTTTATTTTCTCGTTTGTAGAATCTTGATTTTTCTTGAAGACTTACAGTTTCCTTATATTACTTTTTGCCTCTTTTAGGTTAAGAAGCTTGATGATTCTGAGTTTAAAAATGCCTTTTCCCGGGCTAGAGTTCATGTAAGACTCAGTTACTAAATTTGTCATTTCATTTTATCTCTACATGTTGTAACTGCATGAACTGTTGTAACGTCTTCATTGCCATTAGGTTAAGGAGTATGATTCAAGCCATTCTAGGAGTCGCAGTCGCAGTCGCAGCCTCAGCCCTTACCCAAAAGGAAGAAGCAATGGTCGCAGCAGGAGCAGAAGTCCAGCTGGCCGTCGGAGTAGAAGTCCAGCTGGCCGTCGGAGCAGAAGCAGAAGGTTATATTGCCATACAGTGCCCCCCCTCCTCTCTTCCTAACTACTAGCGTATACTTTGTGAGATACTTATCAACTTAATTAATCTTCTTACAGCAAGTCACCCAAGGGCAAATCGTCACGTCGCTCAAGATCTCGTTCGAAGTCCGTGTCTTCTCGGTCTCGTTCTCGGTCAAAAGCTCGCTCTGCTTCAAGGTAACCACCTTTTTTTTTGTGTTTGCTTTGTTCATTTTGTTGTTGAAAGTTCAAATTAAGCTAGAGTTTCTTAGAAAATGCTTATCTTTTGTTCATATTTTATAGTCTTTTTGCAGGTGTAAGTTGCTAAGTTCATTTATAACTTGTTCACCGTTTTCTATCATTTTTCTGCTAGTTGCAGTTTTAAAAGAATAATATTCCAAGTTTGTGACTTTGTTGAAGGTTTATGCATTGAGTATTTTATTTGCTTTGCAAATTGATTGCAACCAGTATTTTGCCGAACTGTCGGTATACGGATAGTTCAACTGCTTTTTACCTGGAGTGATATTGTCTGTCACGTTTGTGATGTGATGATCTCAGCATTACCTGGAGTGATATTGTTCTTGATACCTGGAGTGATATTGTTTTTTATAGATGGAATATATAAGCTCAAAGTTCATGTTTGTAGTAATGTGCAATGCCACTTTAAACGTCTAATGGCATTACAATAGACTAACAATCATTAGAGAAATCTGTAAATTGTTTAAGTGGTTTTCTTTTGGGTACCTTGTAGTTAAGGGTCACATCGAGGTTGTCTGACGTGTTATTTGCATTGTTAATTTTATGATATCTAACAATCTGTGGAGCACATGAGTTGAATGAACTCAGTTGAGCTTGCTTATCTTCTCTTTACCGAAATTGGTTTTTATACTCTAAAATGCAGGCTCAAGTTCATTCAATCTCTCTTGTGTTCCAGTAGAGTTGATATTAGTTCAGATCTCAATAATTTCAGTCCCTGTATATTCTTGAATCATGCTTTTGAGTTGTGTCAATAAAATGTTTTCTTTGTTCTTAGAAACATGGAATTACCTATATTTTGCACGATCTGGGGATTGGATTTAGGATCTTGTGGGTTGGCTACAACTCAGTTGGTTTTGGAGGTATGATGATTTACAGATGGTAACTTTAGATCAATCACGATGTGTCTGTTCTAACGAGCATAACACATGTGCTTGGCTGCTAGATTGGACAAACAAAGAAGATCACGGATTACTAATTATGGAGCACCTTTTTGCGGTGGAATTTGGATACCTTTTAACTATCTCCAATGCTGTTTGTTAAGCAGCCAAAGCTTTATCAGAGTGTTTAGTGATTCTTTTTGGTATCTATCCTTGTCGATCTTTCAAAGAGCATTTGTTAGCTATCTATAAATGGTTTATTTCATTTTTTCATAAATTTTATTTGGAGTTTATCTTATTTTCTTTCCCTTTTCCTTGTGTAATCTGCTAAATGTTTGTGAGCTTCCTTCCCCTTATACATTTGGTCAACGTCACTATGACGTGGAAGTGGCGTCGAGGCTCTTGGATCAAATGTTAAGAGGCAGTAGTGGATTAATAAACTGGGTGTTTTGGAACTTTTTGCAGATCTCCATCAAGATCCCGCTCTCCAAAACCATCTGTAAGTCTATCCATTATTTTATTTATTAATTGGTCTGTTCTATTCTCTCTTGTAAGTACGGGCATTTGCTGGATTCTGCTCAATATTCTTTATATCTACGTATTCTTTTTTGTTTAATTAATGTTAGCAGACGCAGAAGCGTGTGAGCATGAGTCCCAAAATCTCAAAAAGACTCAGTCCTACCAGAGACCGCAGCAGGAGCAGGAGCAAGAGCAAGAGCAAGAGCAAGAGCCCAAGCCAGAGTCGAAGCAGGAGCCGTTCTAGGTTCTGTGTTGTTTTCTTATACATATGCATACACATATATGTATTATGTACTGAATGTCATTTTAAATTGTTGCAACAGGTAAAAAAAATGGTTATTATCTGATGAGGGGGTGCAATGGATGCTGTCTTTCTTTGCATTGAAAGAAGTAGAGTGTGTTAGAAGTGATGATATGATCAAATTGCTGAAGGTCTTTGGGGGAAGTGTCTTGTCTTGTGTTTCCCCAATATTCAGTTTTGTATGTTGACTTGTTTTCTGCATTGAAAGACTTTTAGTATGTTAAACATTTGCACTGTAACTACATTATTATGGCCTTAAAGATTTTGTCGGGGGTTGACAACACTCTTATTCATTTGCGTTGGGATCGATTTCGTTATGAATGAATTTATAATATTCGAGTAGAGGAGCATGGGGATCGATTGACCTTTTAGTCCTTTACATGGTAGTATGGATTATAGTGTTGGAATTGTATGTTAGGATTACTGACTCCCTCAACTCATTGTATCACAGTCGGCCATAGTTGTACTTTATATGGTTCTCTCTCTCTCTCTCTCTCTCTCTCTCTCTCTCTCTCTCTCTCTCTCTCAAAATGACTGGTGAAGCAGTTTGTGACTGGGTTTTAGGTGGTGTTTGCAAAAGCTTTGATTGTTTGCAAACTCAATTTACTTTTCATTATCTTCAAATAAGCAGTTTGAAGCTATATTTTAAAAGCCTCTCTTGAAAAACATTTTGTTGTAGCTTTATCACTTTTATAATTAATAATGGAAAGTCATATTGGTCGTTTCATTTGTCTTCTAAATATTTTTTTGAGTCTATGAATCCACTTTATGAGGACATGTAGGGTTCATTGAGATGAGAGGTTTTTGTGGGAGGAAATTAATCCCTTTTGTGCTTATTTTGATTAAGTGATTTAACAGTAAATTTTAAATATGTACTTGCTATTATAAATAGATATACATCAATATGTGGACTCAGCATCATTTTTGCCTTGGAGACTAAGATTCCCCTTCACTATTACACGTGCCATCTTCTCCTTATACTAATCCTTAATAAGCATGACAATGCTTAAACCCTCTCTGTATATAAATAGACGTAATGAGAATGAAATGTATATCTCTCAATCCTCATTATTATATAAGATTTCACTACCAAGCAATTGCAGTCTTATATAAGAGCTTTCAGTTTCATTTACATAATTTATATTAGTTTATTATATATATGTTTTTATTCTATAACACGTTATCAGCACGAGATTTTGCTCGATAGAGATTTGTTATTTTCGTATTCTTCTTTCTATTTTATTTTACGAAAATCCAGATCCTCGTTCTATTGTCGAAATGACAAACGAGAATGATTAGCGAATACTTCAGTATTTTATACGCTATCATTTCTCAAAGGATATGATGGATTCGTGTATATTAATATATTGCTTATTTATTTGTTGAATTGCTGCTGAAATTTATATTTGCAAGCTTGTGGATCCCAAGCAGTGCTATAAGCACGTGTTATGTTTAACAGATCTGTGGGCCGACTTAGAGGCCAAGATATTCACTCCGAGCATGATGCTCGTCGAGTAAAATATATAATAATCTCAGTTGAAAGTTGATTTAGAGACTATGAGATTAACTCCGAGCATAAGCTCGTTGAGTTGGGGAAATAATAATCTCCGTTTAAAGCCGATTTAGAGGCTATCAACTCCGGGCATAGTACCCGTAGAGCTTAACAGAGACCGTATAGAGGTCATACTATAATTCCGAGCGGATAAACTCGTTGAATTGAGACGTTGGAATTCCCGTCAAATAAATAAAATATAGCTCCGAGTCTAAGCTCGTTGAGACAAGAAAGCCGATATAGAGGCTAAATCGCTAATATAGCTCCGAGCCTAAGCTCGTTGAGACAAGAAAGCTGATTTAAAGGCTAAACTGTTCATATAGCTCCGAGCAAAACTCGTTGAGACAAGAAAGCCGATTTAGAGGCTAAATCTTTAATATAGCTCCGAGTCTAAACTCGTTGAAGCAAGAAAGCCGATTTAGTGGCTAAATATTTAATATAGCTCCGAGTCTAAACTCGTTAAGACAATAAAGCCGATTTAGAGGCTAAATCACAAATATAACTCCGAGCCTGAAGCTCGTTGAGTCAAGACGTGATAATATCCGTCAAAAGCCGATTTAAAGGCCAAATATCTGAATATATCTCCGAGCCTGAAGCTCGTTGAGTTAAGACGTGATAATATCCGTCAAAAGCCGATTTGAAGGCCAAATATCTGAATACATCTCCGAGCCTGAAGCTCGTTGAGTTAAGACGTGATAATATCCATCAAAAGCCGATTTGAAGGCCAAATATCTGAATATAACTCCGACCTGAAGCTCGTTGAGTCAAGACGTGATAATATCCGTCAAAAGCTGATTTAAAGGCCAATTATTTGAAAATATCTCCGAGCCTGAAGCTCGTAGAGTCATTAGACGAGGTAAAACCTGTCAAGAGCCAACTTAGAGGCTATTAATCACAAGCCCAAACTTAAAGGGTTATGGGTTATTTTGTACCCAGTGTATATGTATCTCTCTCGAAAGGTGTGATTCCGAGATTGAGTTATTTTGTGTGTATCCATGTATAATCTCTCTTGGATGGTGTGATTCCCAAGATTGAGTTGTTTTGAATAAACCCACATGTACATATCTCCCTTGGAGGATAAATACTCGAGGTCGAGCTGATTTTTAATTACGCGTACATGAAAACATGGACAAATATGACTATTGCCTACTCGATAGTGCAACTACACACTCAATATTCAATAATAAAATATATTTCTCGAGTGTGACATTGTACAAGGCACAAGTTAAAATCATATCTGATCCCGTGGAGAGAATAGATGACTCCGGGAATGCAACAATTATGTTGCCTAATGGTACTACGTATGCTTATTATCAACGCGAAATATAATATTTACGCGTTTGCTGACACATATTATTGTGCAGCATTGGGAATAAATGTCGAGCACCTAGTAGCATACGTTCACACTCAAAATGGACTGGCGGAATCTCTGATTAAACGCGTCCAAATAATTGCTCGTACTTTGCTGATGAGATCTAAACTCACTAGTGCAGCATGGGGCCATGGAGTATTGCATGCATCAACACTGATTAAATTACGCCCAACTGCTTATCATATGCATTCCCCAATGCAATTGGCATCAGGCTTTGAGCCCGATATTTCGCATCTTCGCACATTTGGTTGCGCTGTGCAAGTGCCAATTCCTCCTCCTCAGAGGACTAAAATGGGTCCCCAACGCCGACTTGGCATATACGTTGGGTTTGATTCACCGTCAATTATTAGGTTCTTGGAACCAATGACGGGTGATTTATTTACCGCTAGATTTGCGGATTGTCATTTTGATGAGACATTATTTATACCGATTGGTAAGAATATTCAGAATATCCGTGATAATGATAAACAAAAACCAATCGAGAATCTCACATGGTGTGAGCAACATTTATCTCATCTCGAGCCACGTACCTCTGAATGTGAAAATGAGATCTATAGAATCATTCATTTACAAAATATTGCCAATAGACTTCCTGATGCATTTAATGATGCCAGTAGAGTCACGAAGTCTTATATTCCAGCTGTGAATGTGCCAGCTAGGTTCGATGTTCCTGAAGAACATGCGAAAATGAATGATGATCCCCCACGACAAAAATGGGGTAGACCAATTGGATCAAAGGACGTTGTTCCTAGAAAAAAGAAAGGGGAAAATTGATGAACCCTCGAACCAAGTGGTTCCTAGTGAGAATGCTCCAGATGAATCTGTTGAGCCTGATATCGAAAAAGCGATATCAAATCTCGAAATACCAGAAATTTCATAAGTTATTTCAATGAAATATATGGCATACAAATGAGACGATCATAAATAATATATTTACATTCTTAATTGATTAATAGATTGTCTACGATGATAATTACAGTGAATAATGACTCACAGTTTTGTAATGTTGCAGGTACGTCTTGTTGATTTACCAAACAAGCATGCCCACTAACATGATAATGTTGATTATATAGCACAGATACATAAAAAGCGATTGAACCAAGTCCTTCCAGGCTTCTACATTTGAGAAATTGGTATATGGCATTGGAATGAGAAGAGCCGATATGGAGCAAGATTGATGGCTCACCCCAAAGGTTTACAGTGCGATCATTTCAGGGGGAGCAAAATAGTGCGCTGCACTCTTTTTCCCTTTTGACTGGTTTTGTCCCATTGGGTTTTCCAGCAAAGGTTTTTAACGAGGCAGCTTCTGCACACGACTTGGATTGAGTTATGCACTTTTTTTCCCTTATATTCGGTTTTATCCCACTGGGTTTTCCGACTTGAGGTTTTTAACGAGGCATACATCGTACTCATCCAATTTACAGCCGATACAATAATACTTCGTCCAAGGGATAGTATTATAAATAGATATACATCAATATGTGGACTCAGCATCATTTTTGCCTTGGAGACTAAGATTCCCCTTCACTATTACACGTGCCATCTTCTCCTTATACTAATCCTTAATAAGCATGACAATGCTTAAACCCTCTCTGTATATAAATAGACGTAATGAGAATGAAATGTATATCTCTCAATCCTCATTATTATATAAGATTTCACTACCAAGCAATTGCAGTCTTATATAAGAGCTTTCAGTTTCATTTACATAATTTATATTAGTTTATTATATATATGTTTTTATTCTATAACACTTGCCAATTTTTAGTTGCTTTTTAAGAATTTGTGGTAGGTTATAAATCTCATGTAGACTCATTTTAATTTCATCCCAATTCAAATGCACACTTAAAATCTTTTACAAAATTATGTTGAAGATTAATGCTTGTTTGTGAAAAACAAGTTGATTATTGTAGGATATATGCAATCATCCACAACTTCTTAAAATAAACAA